TATTATTATTATCATATTATAATTAATTAATTAGTCAAGTAGTTTATAATTCCATTACTTATTTATTTAGTTGTGTGTGACTTTCTTAAGGTCGTACCAATCCTGTCATACATCTCTTGTTGAGTGCAGTCTGACACAAATCTAATTTTTTCTTCCTCCGTAATAAAAACATCACACTACTGCATTATTGGAAAAAAGCAATTTCATAATCAGTATTTGCATTCTTTATGATCCCCTGGCTCACAATTACTTTGATAAACACTGACACGTACTGTAAAGCATCCAGAACACTTGTTCCAGTTTGTACTGTCCTTTGGAACAAACCAACCACACAAAACACACACAGATATATTGCCACTGGAATGTTTTGTTTGCATAGTAACATATTATATCATCACTAGATGTTTGTTGTTGATTTGTGCTTGTATTACTGTATCTGTTGTGAAAATATTACTTTTTCGTTTATGTCAAAAATACAAATTGAGTCAGAGCTCTAGAGCTGTAAAAATGTAGTAATTTACTCAATGCAGTGTTCAAACAATTGAATTCTGCAGTTTAAAAAGCTAAATTAAAGCTCAGCGTACTTCTAACCACTTCATGAGTGGCTCCTTACTCAGCACATTTTGAGATGTGCAAGGAATGCTGCAGTGATGGTTGTTGTTTCAGACAGTGACATTCTTGAGTTCAGGGCCCACATTAGTGTGTCTGCGCATACACAGCTGCTAGTTACCACCAAGTGATTGGAAAGGAACTCACACAGTAATATAAAGCCTCCCACACACAACTCTAAACATTGACTGTCCTACAATACCCGTGTGTTTTCTCCTCTCCTCCCAGGCAGCCGCAGCCCTTAAAGAATTGTATAAAAGACATCCAGTCCTCTACAACAGCAGCATCGTCTGCTCCTTCGAGCCCAAAGTCATCTACAGGGTAAGAGGGCTCAGATTTGATGTGTGTGGCTGTTGTTTAAGCTACATTTCCACATTGAGTGTGAAGTGTGACCAAGGTGGGAAAATGAACTTGCACCACAGTTGATGCCCTTACAAAATAGTTTGCATGGTTACCACATTTCCAGAGATATTATAACTTAACCTGAGACTGACTGAACAGTGTCAGAACACTACTGTATGCTTGATGCAGAAGTTTCACCCGGATCAAAGTAACACGTTTAAATTTATTTTCTGCACATGCAAAAATGTGAATTAGTTATTCTGCCATTTTGTGCTGAAAGTCCTGTACCAAACAGTCTGCTATAAATGCATATCTCATAGTAAACATACAAACAGGTACTGATTAAATAATCTCATGACTGTATCTGTCACATTGTTACCATTCACCATTACTTCATCTCTGTGTCTGATCCACTCTGGCCCAGATGAGACAGAGTGACCCAGATGTGGTCACAGCTTTGACCCACAGGCCGTGGAGCCTGAGTCGGCTCGGAGATGGTGAACCGCGTTTCTCATCGCTATGGAAACACAACTGGTTAACGCTAATGGACTTCATGTTGGACTGGGCGCACCATCACGTACTATGGAAGCTCTGTGGCATCTCAGCCTTCCTTATACAGAAGAACTTTGTCTCACCGTGAGTTTCTTTAGCTGCGACCACGCTGTCATATACTGTACAATAGTATACATGTAATATATAATGCTGATTAAATGTCGGAGCCATTAAAAGCCAAGGACAGCCTGTGTAACAATGGAATATAGTCGCTTTAAACAGTCTGAATCCTGTTTCTGTGTGCTGTCTGCAGGGACTATGTCCAGTACTGGACCCAGAGGGGGGTGGACGTGGTGGCCTGGACTGTCAACACAAACGTGGAGAAAGAGTATTACCAGGAGCTGCTGCACGTCAACTACATCACAGACAGCCTTGTGGAAGACTGTGAACCCCATTACTGAACAACACAGTGTGTTCACACACATACGCATTAAAATGATGAAATCCGTTTGAAAGGAACATTTCACTGTCTACTCATCACGCATAATGTGGCTTCAGATAAGAGCCACTCTTTTATTACCATGCACACTTTCATTACTGTGAGTGTGTGTTTATTTGAGCCAATCAAACTGACCAGACTGGGTGCCAAATTTAATAACAGGAGCCCAAGTAACACACACATTGAGGCACCTGCTGTGTATTTATAGACTTTCTGGTCATAAATGTTTATAACAGATCAGACGTACTGTATTCACTAACTCAGGACTGCAAAATTGTTTTTTTCTTGTTAATTGTATCTTACTGTCTATAATGTCCTGCACTGTCTCTGCTTTGTTTGTGGTTTTTCAGGACGCCCCCTTTGCTTTTTACTCAGTGTAGGCCATAAATCTGAAGTAATCTAGAAATGATTTTTACCAATTATTAAAAAGTAATACTTATTTATAACTAACATATATAAACATTTTATATCTTTGATGTACATATGCAACATAAATGTAGAACAGAGCAATAGGGCTGGCATACAAATGCACCATAATATATCATTATTATACATTTAAAAAAGAAATAATCTATAGGACACATCATTTGGTTAATGGTAGTGGACGTCTGGCCCCCGGCTGTGTCTATAGAGTGGATACCAGTGACTCCATTTTCTTCTATCAACTCATGTAATCACAAGCTTATCTGCTTCTGTTTAGCTACAAGATGAGGAATTAGAATTACCTGACAACAATTCAGTAACACAGTACTGTATATGGGAAGACACAGTAGGACAGTGCAGAGGCAGTGAAGTGGATACAAATAACAAATAACAAATATGTAAATAAACGTGAAATTTTACGAGGCTTTAAAATCTGTAGATCTGAATTGAGTCCTTGGAGATGGAAGCTGACAGTATAACATATTGACTAATGGTACTTAAGGCCATCTCACAGTGCAAACACATGACGGACAGAAAACAGACCCTTCTCACTGCAGATGTATGTAATAGCAGGAGAAGCACAGGTTGTAACTAATAACATTAACAATGTCTCTGTTGCATTTAGGTGTAATTAAACTTTGCCAGTGAGCCAGCACCTGCAATATCAGGGCCCTCGAACTGGAAAACCTAAATGGAAAATGGAATCTGTGTTAAATTCACTATTACAAAGGTTTTAGGACTCAGCATTTCTCTAACATACATAAATATAGAAGCTGACTACTTCTGTTTATTTGCTCTTTGATCTGTTTAATTCAATCTAAGGTGATTTGACAATTTTAAAATCATTAAACATGATGATTAATGATTTACACTTATTCCACTGTTGGTCTTAAAATCGGAAGAAATAAATCGTGTCGATTTGATTTTCTATGATTGAGGATGTTTTTGTGTTGACACAGAGTGGGCGGTAGAGTGGGGATATGTATAAAATGCTGGATGTGTCATTTTAAAGTGTTTGTCATTTGATGTCTTCTTCACCTTGGGACAGCTGAGACCTGCCAAAGGGGGGCTCCTAAAGATCAGCTTTTTCTGCTAACATTTGGCAACCAGTAGATTAACACTAAAACTAATAGCATTAGGGACACTCACTGACATACTGTCTCAGAAGTCCAGAAAAATACTTGTTTCCAGCCATAAATACACAACCAGGGGAAAAAGTCTAAAAAGTATTTAGAAGGAAACAAGCTGTGAACTTAACTATTAACCTAGTTTTATATTGATCATCTTTTCACCCTGGTTTAAAATCTATTGGCTGTAGGGAGGTACAGTGTGTCAGCTGATGATTGTATTATCTATACAAGTGTGATTGACCCACATACTACAGATGAATGGGGGGGGGGTGTAGTGTTAGATATCACCCTGGATAAGCCTGTCTGAGCCGCTTTTTGTCCCCCTGATCTTCAGTTACTAAACACAGACGGTCAACTCACACTGTGTAGATGGACTCAGGTGATTTTCACCTGAACACAGGTTACCTGCAGTATATCTAAGATAAGGGTGAAGGTATGCAGCAAAATACGCATTGTATATATTTTTCTATTAGCAATATCTAAATGCTTTAATGGGTGGCCTATAACTGAAGATCAAAGAAAAGAAAGAAATGGTTTATTAGAAGTTGTGTGACACCAGCCTGCTGTCAGTCCTCAGAAATGGGAGTTAATTGGTACATTTCCGTCACCATGACTCGGTCATTATTTAATAAGCAATTAGGATAAATATAAATCTACAAACTGCAGAGAAAGGTCCGCTTAATGTCGGTTTCCTTCAATCTGTCTGCGCCTTTGGTTTAATAGGTGAAAGGTGATCGCTCCTCCTCCAACACACCGTGTGAGGGGCGTGAGGAGACGTCACAGAGGGGGGTTGCCCAGCTCGTAAAGCAGTCCGACCAGATGTAAACAGAAACAACGAGGGCGGAAATGGAGACGCTGTAACTTCATAATAAAAGACACAAAAAGCGATGGTATAGAACTTAAAAGTCTTAATGAAATACATTTATAATAATGCTCTGATAAATCCTGAATTAAACTTTAGAAAATGAACTGAAAAGTAGACACAGACATAAGGGTTTGCCTTGGTTTTGCATGGATAAATAATAACTGCAGCAGTACATTTGGGGCTGTTTTATTGCAGGCAATGGTCACACTGCACATTTACCTGAAACATACACACAAACAATAAATCCTTTCACTTATTCATCTAACCATACAGAATAAACACAGAATAGAAACATAACATCATGAAGCTGAATAGATTGTTTTGTGATGCTAAAATCATTTAACTCTACACATGTTTTAGAGATCATGTTAGACTTACTCTACTTCACTCAAAACAAAAACCCAACTTCCCCAGCTTCACATGATGTCCATTATTTATTATTCTGTATCCGGTCATCTAAACAAGATTAACGTCAACGCGGTTTTACTTTGAAACGTCTGACCGGAAGTCCTGCTTTTCCATTCTGCCTGGCTTGACGCTCCCAAAGCATGGTCGCTTTCCGTCCTGATGAAAATATCAAAGTGTGCGGTGCCCTTGTATCCTGTCAGAGAGCGGAGGCTTCACAGTCAGTCCCGGAGCGTCAGCGGAGCACAGAGAGCACACTGTCCGGCCTGGAGTGTCATTGTCCCCGGACGTCAGGACCCACCGTGCCCCCCCTCTCACGCTGACTGAGCCCCGGCATGTGGAGCCGCTTTCTCCTTGGATGACCTACACGCAACCTCTCGCAGGAGCAGCGGGCGCCGGTTCACTACAGCGGAACACTTGCTGGTTGAGAGGACGTATTAATACACAGCGGGCAACAGGTCAGGTTGAGTCTCCGCAGGCTTCAGGCCGACTCCGGAGCAGCTGACCCGGGGAACTAAATACGACGTCGCAATTAGTTTTTTTCCACCGTGGCTGCGTCAGGAGGAGCCGACACACGTCTGGAAGTTGAAGACTTTGACAGTCAATGAGTGAATAATTATTAACAAGACAGCCCGTGTTTAAACTCAGACACTGAATAATTCCTGGAGGTTACCGGTGTTCACATGATGTACACAATCACCAGAGGTCCCAGCAAACTTGTTACACAACGGAGGACAGGTTAGTGAGTGGACGTGTTATCTAAAGGCATGATGCAATGTAACATCAGGGCTTTCCTTTGCGCCACGAAAGGGAAAGTTTTGTGTCATTGCGAGAGTTAAAATGCTTAAAGATGGTTTTAAAGATGGTGTAAAGGTGAACTGTTTCTTGTCTCAAAGGTCCCACACAACAAATCGAGAGCAAATTCAACGACTTGAAGCTCAAGCCGACGTCTTGGCTCTCGTCAAGGTAAGTAGCTGCTGTAAAGTCGTGTGTGTGTGTGTGTGTGTGTGTGTGTGTGTTTTTGGTGTAT